ACAGAGCCAAGTTACAAGTGGCTCTTAGAGAGAGGAAAGCATGTGCAAAGGGTCTGTGGCGTGAGAGAATAATTGAGGGTCTGCAGGGCTGAATACAGGGAGGAAGGGGTGAGTCCTGGGCCCTTGTGCCCAGATGGAGAACCTAAATTCTGCTCTTGCAGCATGGAGTCCTTGAATGTTCCAAGCAGAGGTATAATGAATGGGATTGGGGTTGTAATCTGGGCCTTCAATTTAGAAAACTCATTTTAAAATAAATAAGACTCTGGGGATGTAGCTGAGTGTGAAGGCCCTGGGTCCAATTTTTTTAAAGGGAGGAAAATGGATGTGTGGGGTCAGGAACAGAAGTGGGAGGCCAGCAGTGCTGCCACCCCCCTCCCACCAGAGTGCCAGCTAGCCTGGGACTCGGGGTAATGGGAGACCCCAAGTCAGAGCAAGAGGAGAGGGAGCCTGGCGCCTGTTCCCCACCTGCTGTGTCTGTCTGGTTCTGGGCCCATGAGTCACAATCTGCATTGAACTCACTTTTAAGCCTTGAGCCATTCATGCACAGGCCAGTGGCTTTCAGGGCGCTGCCCCAAATACACCTCAGCACTAACTGGAAGGCTCTTCACACGGTGGGCCTCACTCTCTGCTCCGCTCAGGGCTGTCACAAGCCAGCAGGATTAGCATGCGCCATGAGGCAGCATGCCTGGCCCGACTCCCCAGCGTGGCTGTCTGTGCCCATGCTGGGCAGTGACCCTGGGTTCTATAACATTTTGGCATGGTGGCCTGAACAACCCGGCAGGGTCAGCCCCCTGCTGACCTGAAGCAGGCTTCCAGCTTCATAAAGGATTAGCTGTTTGCTAATGCTCCTGAGGGCACCAGCAGCTGTTAAGAGGATGTTCCCAGAAGCCTGCCTCCTGGGGCCTGCAGAGGGGCAAACTGCAGCATGGTGTGGGCACTGTTGGGGCAAAATGGGCTTCTGTTCTGCTAGGGTCAGAAACCCAGGCCTAGCTGGGTGTGGTGGTGAGTGCCTCTCATCCCAGCACTTGGAGAGGCTGAGGCAGGAGGATTGCAAATTTGATCCTGGCCTGGGCAATTTATTTATTTATTTGGTGCCGGGGATTGAACTCACGACCTTGCATTTGCCAAGCAAGCACTTACGCCGCTGAGCTAAAGCCTGAGCTCCTGGCCTGGGCAATTTAGCAAAATCCATTTTAAAATAGATAAGGCTTTGGGGATGTAGCTCAGTGTGAAAGCCTTGGGTTCAACTTTTTTTTTTTTTTTTTTTTAAGGGAAGGAAAAAAAATGAGAGAAAGAAAGAAGAAAGAGGACAGACCAAGTGTGGATTCCTAGCTGTTGCTCACTTAGTTTCTACGGCCTCTGAACCTTCCTGGGGTCCATCCCTTCCTCTTCAGCCCCCTTGTCTACTCGAGTGCTGCAGGCCTGTGCCACTGCAGGCTGGGACAGTTTACGCCTGGGCTCTTATTACTTCTCCCTGTCCTTGTCCCTGGACAGCCTTAACTTCCAAGTGCCCTTCCAAGTTTTGCTTGGAAAGCACCCCAAGGAAGCCCCCACTAATCCAGCAGGGAGTCCTCGTGTTCCTATGTCTGCTGGGTGACAGTTTCCCGGTGAGGCCCCAGGCAGCCAGGTCCTCTTAAACTGGGGTTGTTTAGGAGCCAGGAACACTACAGGCTCCCAGGGAGAGAGGGGAGGCCAGGCCATAGTTGGACCTGCAGAGCCTGGCACAGTGGCTGCCTCAGGTGGCTTTGGGTCTGGAGTCTGCTGCCCTCTGCAGGAGCAGGGATCTTTCCCCAAAGCGGGTGCCTGGAGGGATTCACGTTCACTGCACACAGTACAGCTGCCTGGCCCTACAATCCGAGTGGGGGCTTCCTCTGTGACTTGGAGAGGGGTCACCCAAAAGCGCAAGCAGGGACGGCAATCCAGGCCGGTCCAGTTAGAGGACCAGATCACATTTATTCACCGCCAAGGAGAACAAGCAGGGTGTCCTAGAGGACACCCTGTGGCTGGTTGGACAGGGCACGCACGCGAGTCATTCACAAACGTTTCTCTTTAGGTAACCGGACTGCGGGGCGATCGAAGGGAGCACAGTAGGGCCTCAGGCAGGGAACAACGGGGCTGGGACAGGAGGAGCCCGCGGGCCCACCGGCCTATGGAGGGCTGGCCGCGGTGCACTGGCGCCCTCGTGTGGCGATGCGGGAACTACCCACAGGGAGTAGTTGATAACGCTTGGGGCTGGGGCAGGATCTGCTGAGATACTTTCTCAGGGTGGGGTGTCTCTTGACCCCCGCAAGAGCCCACTGCAGCGACTACCTGAGGAAGTGTGAGCCAAAAAGAAAGTGACTAAAGTTGTGACAGACCCACAACTGTACGGGGTCACTTTTGGTCCCCTGATTATCTGAGAGCCAGCTCAGGAAGAACCCAAGGTCAGGACCGGCTCTGCCTGAGCCCCTGCCGCTAACACTGTGTGTGGCATACAGCAGGTGTTCAACAAAAGATGAGGACCACAGACATCCCTTGGCGGAGGGCTTGAAGTGGTGGCCAGAACTTGTAATTAGGTGGTCATAACATCTGTCTACACTGCCTGACCTTCTGGCATCTGAGTCCCCATCTCAGGAAAAGTTAATCCCCAGGGACAACATAGATGTCCCTAATCCCCCCCCCCCCATGCAGTTCAGGCTGGCCTTGAGCTCACTTTGTAGCTCAGGCTGGACTTGAAATCTCAACAATCCTCCTCCCTCGTGCTGGGATTACAGGCGTGCCCCTAAATTCTGCATTTCACCCCCAGTTTTTGGATGGGATTAGGGTAGCTCAGGCCCCATAGGCCCCAGGATGGGCCCAGCCCAACTCCCTACCCAGGTAGAGCACAATTGAGTCCACCCCACACACGCTGCACAAACACCTGCTAGCTGTTGGCCCTGAAATGAGCAAGCAGGTGTTTCTGTGACCTAGGAGATGAGGCACCCCAAAAGCACAAGTGGGGATAGCAATCAAGGAGTCATCTCAGGGCCTCAGTTTCCTCCCTGTGATCTAAAGTTCCCGGTCATGTAGGCTGGTCCACTGCCTGCAGACTCTCCCCTGAGGAGGGCCTGCAGAGCAGGGTGGGGCAGGCTGGGACGCACAGGCTGACACCTGGGGCCCTCACAGACACCTGGGTGGATTCCAGGCAGTTGGGGTGTCTTGAGACTGAAATCTCAATATTATATATTGTAATCCAAATATTGTAATCCTTTTTTCAGTTCACCTCATACTCTAGAAAGTCATATTGCCAGTTTTTTTTTTTTTTTGGTGCCAGGGATTGAACTCACAACCTCGCATTTGCCAAGCAGGCACTTACGCCGCTGAGCTAAACCCCTGGTCCCTAGAAAGTTATATTTGTAATCCCATAGAAATATTATTGGAATCCCAATGAGTTAATTATAATTAATCACCTCCCATGTAACCCACGGCAAGAGTAAATACACAGGGCTGGGGATTTAGCTGAGCAGTATAAGCACCTGCCTGGCAACTGCAAGGTCATGAGTTCGATCTCCGGTATTGCAAAAAAAAAAAAAAAAAAAAAAAAAAAAAGAATAAATACACTAAAATATATTCAAAGTTATGGGCAGCCAAGGGGTCCTAAGTTCTATCCAAGTGAGAATATATGGACAAAGGTCCTGACCCAAGGCCTCTCCCAGAATTTATCTTGTGAAGACCAGGGTGGCTCGGGGATGAATGACAGTGAGGATGGCGGGAACTATGTGAGTAACTCAAGCTGGCCAGCCAGGTGGGGAGGAAAGCATCTCCGAAATATGCAGGGAAAATGATGTGCAGAAGGATCAGTCTGTATAACTCAATTAGGGCAGCATTTGAATGGTTTTAGGGAGATTGTTGCTTCTGATACATAACTTTTGTGTAAGTTTCTGATACATAAACTTTTGTGCCCTGTGACATCCTAGCCACTTACTTTGAGGCTCATACCCAGCTGACACTCCTGGAGCCCAACGGCTCTGCCATCCTGCTGAGCTCAATCTCTTACAGAGAGCACTGTGTGAGGAAACAGGACACTGTCAGGTTGACTCAAGGATTACACAATACCTTAGCTAGCTTTATGCAAATAAGGCCACTTAGAGCCAACTAAAGGGAAAAGGGAATAACACAGCCCGCTCTATACATATCAGTATATGGAAATAAGACTCAATTTAACTAATGTTGCAGCAATTGTTACTTATTCAAGGAGAGAAGCCCAGGTCATCCTCTACATCTCCCCCTTCCTTGTCTTTTTATGCAAATGTGAGCCACAGTTGCACGGCCTCTAGGCATCTCTGAGTTGTGAATCCTCTCTGACAGACTTTAATGAGAAGAGTTATAAACCAAAGAATGAGCACATTAATTCCAATATAAATCCAAAAGTGAGCCTTGAGATATATGAATGGATCTAATTGTCCTATAGCATCAGTAAATTTATCCTGATCTTTAATTTGGGTATCAAAAGTAACTGTCTGTTGTGATGTAGACAGCACTAGTCTCTGAAGAGTATCTGTATCCATAGTAATATTTTGATGGACTGCTCCTTATATATGTTTTTCCATCATTGCCCAAGGATGCAGGCTTTGGTTATGTGTTAATGGGGTGATACAAAAGTGAGTCATGTTATCATGACATTTTAAAACCCTTCTGTAACTGTAAACTTTTTTTTTAAAATCAGTATTGGAGATCAAACTCATGACCGCCTGCTTGCAAGGCAGGCACTTATGCCACTGAGCTAAATCCCCAGCCCTGTAACTGTAAACTTTCAATCTGATCTCCCATCCACAGGACAGAAGTTTTTAGAACCCACTTGGGTTTGCAATTTTATATCAACTTCTCATTGAATCTTTTAGCTCTCATCAGCAGTTTTTGTCCAATTATCTACAAAGTGAGCAGTTGGTACTTAATGGGCTAAAGTCCTGGAGCCAATAGCTGTGCTGGCTATCAAAAGAACTAGGGAAGTAATCCCTGAAATAATCAGTCCAAGCATCCTCTCGGTTTGATTGCTAAATCTTTTAATTAAAGTCTCTACCCAGAGGGTGGTAAGTGAATGATACCAAAGCTCCATTAGATTGACTGGAAGCCAAACTCCAGGCATCCTGCTGATGATTATTATTGTGGAGTCCCTAAAAAGAAGTTTGGGTTTGATACAATGGACTAGATACCAATTAGTATATGAAAATGTTTTGTCGCTACTCTTTCCTATTAACAGCATGTCAGGATCATAAATACATATGTTTATTCTTATACACCTATGATCTTATAATATTATTTTTGACTTTTCCTCCATTTACTGGCTGCAGATGCCCAGTCTGGGGTAGTCCACTGTGAAAAGGCAGGGTTAATTTCCATAAAGTATGCTGTCTGGGTCCAGCCTTGTCATTGATAATAAGCCTAATCTACCTGACCACATAACAGTAGACAGGGCTTCTGAGGACACTGTATTGTCCGGAGAGCCTGAAAAGGAAATCTCAGGCCAATTTCAATCTGCTTCCATAAGGAATCCTCTAGGATACGGGTCTATAAAGGACTAATTAAACTTCCATGAACCCATCCACGGTATGGGTCTCTGCAAGACTGCCAAGGGCCCAAATCACCTTCTTCAAAATGAGGGGCATGAACTTCTGGAATACAGATAGGAATATTAGGTTTAAATCTCCAATAATGTTACCATCTGAGGGAATAAAAGTTAAGGTCAGTAAAGTGAATTGCCCCTTAGATAGTTGTATTTTCCAAGCCTAATCTACAGCTGACATGCATGGGCTAGAATCCTGCTGTAATTGGGCTACACATAAAGGAGGATATACAAAATGAGAGGTAATATTTAGTTTAGATCACTCTTGCAAATGCATAAAAATACAAGGGCCTGGCAGAATAGTGTATTAGGATTTTTGCTTTCTATAGAATGGAGAATTTTTAGGATGGTGGCTTGTCCATCCCTGTTAGCGGTCTGAGCAGAGGTGGATTGGCTATGTAAGCCCAGTATTCCTCCCCTGGACCACAGGAAAACACACTGTGGCTACTAGGAGAGCAAGAAAAAGATTGTCAGGTGATTGACCCAAAACCCTGGCGAGCCTCACGGACTGTCTGCTGCAAGCCTTCCCGGGGCAGTGGATGATGCAGTGTAGTGACCGTTGCTTGAGGTCTTGTTGCATGGATGGGTCAGGGTGCCCTGGGAAGAGGCCTGGGGGCACAGAGGCCAGGCTACGGGCTGAGGCTAGGGAGGGGGTCCAGGCCTGGTTCACATCCCACAGGCAAGGTGGCGGCCTCACTGGGTGGGATGTGGTGGGTCATGTAGCGCTTCCCCATAAAGGAGCCGATCCGCAGCTGCTCGGGGACCTCCTCGGGCCACCACAGGCTGGAGCTGGACAGGAAAGGAGGAGGCGGTGCTGTGCTCCTGGCCACTGGAGGCCACCAAGTCTGGGACTGCCACTGCTTCCCCTACCCAGCGCACTCACCCTGCAGCCCCTGCTCACACCTCCCTGCCTCTTCCAGGTGCCACCCGAGGGTTACCCCTGAGCCAATTCCCCAAACTCCCAGGGCTCATAGAGAAGAGTTGAGGCCCAGGAGAAGGGCCTGGCAGAGAACATAGTGAAGGACAGTGATGGCTGCTCCTGACCTGTCTTAGATCACCTCCCAGCCTCCCAGGTGAGAAGGGGCCTCCTGCAGCTCAGAATCAACAGTGGGGACAGTGACAGGTGAGGGATTCTGGATGGGAGAGGGGCCTGTGGGTGCTATCACTCACAAACGCACGGTGGAGGCTGCCAGGAAGGCCAGGAGCAGGAGACCGGCCAGAGACAAGAGGATGGAGGTGATGACGACCATACAGCCACTGCGACGCCCGGGCCACGTGTCGATGGAGCCCGGGGCCTTCCCTGGACACGGGGACTGCTCAGAGCGGCCACTAATCTCCCGGCTGGGCTGCCCCATCCCCCTCAGCCCAGCTGGACTATCCAATAGTCTGGCCTCCACTAGATCAACGATCCACTAGACCAGCGATCCCCTAGGCCAGCGATCTCCAACATTTCTGACACCAGGGACCAATTTCATTGAAAAGTTTTTCCCCCAGAAGTGGGTTGGCTGCTATTGATGGTTTCTGGATGTTTCAAGCTCATTACTTTATTAGTAATACACCAGATTCTCATAGGGAGCGCGGACCCTGGATCCCGCGCTTGCGCAGTTCACAGCAGGAACGCGCTCCTAGGAGAATCCAATGCCTAGCTAGGCTGACTGAAGGCGGCGCCCAGATGATGATTTGAGGCTGGAAACTTGAAGCTTTGCTTTCTCCTCACCTACTGCTGTGCAGTCCGTTCTTACAGGCTACAGACCATACTGGTCCAAGGACACAAGGTTTGGAGACCCCTGTTCTAGACCATTCTCACCCATGCCCCACCACTGCCCCACACACAAGCACAGTAGCTGCAGACCATGTCACCACCCTGCTCCCTGGAGCCTGGCATTTAAGGCCTTCAGATGACAGAATCCCCACCCAACCACCTTGGCTGCCCATCTCCCAGGCAACTCCCACCCCTGACCTGCAAGAAGGGAGGCTGTGTCTGCCTGTGACAGGCCTGGGGCCTGGACACCCAAGGGCTGACAGATGCTTGGGGGCGAACAGAACGACAATGCTGACCCCAGGCCGCATGGCTGAGCCCCTGACCCCCAGCACTACCTTGGCGGAGAGTAATAATGTCTGACCACTTGGTCTCAGCCTTGGAGGAGCCAGCAACATCGGTTAGGAGGAACTTCACACTGAGGACAGAAGACAGTGAGGAGCAGGGCTGAGACTCCTAGGCATCACCCATCTCAGGCAGGGTGTGTCTAAACTGGGGCCCCAAGAACCCTCAGAGGCCCCTTTTGTCTTGTGACCTACACCGGCAGCCTCCATCTGACTGGGCAGTTGCTCTGCAGACAGCTGTCAGGCCAGGCCAGGCCAGGAACCCCAGCAAAGTGCACAGGGCTGGTGTCCCTGGCCTGCCAGTGGACTAAAGTGCTGGCCTGTGGGGTCAAGACCCCACCACCACCACCACCACCAAAGGCTCAGTGGTGAGGAGGGATGTGGTCAGGGCCTGGGGATCCACAGTAGATTGGAAGAGATCTGAATAGTGTGTGGTGGGGTGCAGCAGGCTGGAAACATTGGCTGCAGGGAATGGAGGCAAAGGGTGAGGCTGAAGGCCTGGTGGGTGGGGCTGGGGGAGTGGATTGCTGGTGGCTGGGTGAGAGGGCAGTGGAGGCTGGGTGGATGAGGCCTGGTTTCTCCTCTGCAGGCCTTGCCTTCCCCACTCCTCCTGGCCTCTCCTCACTGGCCCCCAACTGGACACCAAGGAGTCACCGGCTTTCCCATCCCAGTTCCACCCCAACCTCAGCAGGTCACCTGGCACTCTGTGCCTCAGTTTCTTCATCTGTAAAATGGGATAGGAAGCAGGATGCAGTAGTGAAGGCCTATAATCCCAGGACTCTGCCCCTCACCCAGCACAGCACAGCCCAACCCTGGGGCCCTAGGGCCGCTCAGACCACCCACCTGTAAGGCCCTGGGCCGGGGAGGGGAGTATTGCAGTAGGGCTGCTGTTGACAGTTGAAGTCATTGCCTACTCGAAGCAAGGGGACCCCGCCACTGCTACCCGATGGGTCCTCACAGGGCAGCTGGTCCGGGGACAAGGGCAGTGTCATGTAGTAGCCATTGGTCAGCAGCTGTGGGGAGGTAGGGATCTCGGCCAAGGTCTGCGGGTTCTGGAAGTTCCTGGAGGCTGCAGGACAGAGGGACGGATAGAAGGGGTGACGGGGAGACAGGCCTTGTTCTAGTGACCAGCAGGCTGCCTTCACCAGCCCTGGGCACCCCCAACCTGAGCCTGCAGCCCTGATCCCTAACACCTCCCACCATCAAGTCCAGAGACAGGACAGGCTTCTGGCATACCCTCAGAGCCCTGGATAAAGCCCACATCGTCTTCAGCACCCACCCTGCAGGGACTCCCAGCTGGCATGCAACTGCAGGTGTTTTTGAGGGGCTCCCAGGATTCTGAACCTCCCCCTTGGGCCCTCACTCCCTACCCCAGACCCCAGACCTGCACCGCACACCATTGCTGAAGGCCACCACCAGCCAGATGGTGTCGTTGGCACCGGCACGCCCATCAAAGACACAGCGAGGCTGCTCCAGGGAGAATGTAGTGGCTGTGACCCTCCCTTCCAGGTCCCAGGCTGTGATCTGTGGCATGTATGGGACCAGCTCTGTGCCCAAAGACAAAGGTGAGCAGTAGAGGTCAGCACGAGGGTCCCGGGGACTCCCTGCCCCACCCAGGGACTGCCTGTTCCAATCCAAAGGCTGCCAGGACCCAATCTGCCATGGGTGCCAAGCACCTCGGTTCCCTCCGGGGCCCCAACTCACCCAGGCACAATCTGGGCTGCAGCCATGGCGTCACCCAGAGGAGCAGCAGCCCAGGATTCCGAGGGAGTCCCATGATCAAAGCAGACTGAGCACCGGAAGTTGGGGGCTGGTCTGGTCACCTCAGGCTGCACCCTGCCCCAGCCCCTCAGGCCTGGAGGAGCTGGTTCTTCAAGGAGGGCAGGAAGGACCAGCACACGCACAAGAACCCCACTCCTCCCGCGTCCAGCCCAGCACTGAGAGGGGACTGGGTGGGTTCTGATGTGGGCGGGCCAGTACCGGGGCTCAGGGCGGCCACAAATGCCCGGCACCTAGGTCTCCAGGCTGGAATGGGGCCCCACCCAGCCTCCCAGGCAGGGGGAGGAGGCCCCCCAAAATCTGGGCCCTGAGCCACATGCCTGGGATTCCTGCGCCCCAGGTACCTGGAGCACCCCTTTGTGTACACCCCCACCCAGGGAGAGGATGGGGAGCCAAGGGCAGGGCCTCCCCAACCTGCCCACTCCACACCCAAGGCCCCGCTGGAGCAGGGGCCACAGTACCCCAGCCTCAGTTTCCTTCCACACCGAAAGATACTGGACTGTAGAGCCCATCCAAGCCTTCCAACTCACCCAACCGCCTCGGGCCACACCCTCTATATATTTTAGCTGTAAGTCATATACTATAAAACCCACATCGCAGGGATTGCTCACATCTCCAGGGCTGTACTATCCTCACCACTCATTCCAGAGCCCTCCAGCACCCCAAAAACAAACACTGTGTCTTTACCAACACTCCCCATTCCCCTTCCCCTAGCTACGCTCAGCTCTGGCCACTTCGGATTTGCTCTAAGGGTTTCACAGTGGGATCACAAAGCCTCTGGTTTTGCACTGGGGCTCTGTTCCTTTCTAAGGCTGAGTAATAGCCTGTGACTTGGACAGCGGTTTTCTGACTCATTGGCAGGTGGGTGTTTGGGTCTTTCTACTTCGTTGTGAATCACAGGACACTGTGCATTTGCATACTCGTGCTGGCATGGCCCTGTTCTGGTAAAACCGCCTGGGTTTATCCCTGGAAGTGGAATTACCCACACGGTCACCCTCTTTTTGAGGAACTGTCTGTTCCCCAAAGCAGCTGCATTAATATTTCTACTAGTTGGGTCTGGTTTCTCCATATCCATATAGTTTTGATTTGCAATTTTTGACTGACATTAAACATCCTTTCAGGTATCTGTCTGCAGAAAGAAACCTAGTCAAGTTGTTTACTGTTTTTATTCTAATGCAGAAACTGAATCCAAGGCCTTCCTTGGCACATACCAGACAAATGCTCTTCCTATGAGTTGCACCCCTGTCCTGTCCTTGGTGCTGGCTGAGTAGGAACAACTGTGGCTCACCCCACCCCACGCTGGTGATGGAGACTGATCCTAGGGTTTTTGCACTGAGTTATTTTCCCAGCCCCTTTTGTAGATTTTTGGGGACAGGGAATTGCTAAATTGCTGAAACTGGCCTTGAGCTTGCAACTCTCCTGCCTCAGCCTCCAGGATGCTAAGTATGCATGACCATGCCTGATTTTTCTTATAGAGACAGGATCTCACTATGGAGTTCAGGCAAGCTTGAACTGTGTAGCCCAGGATGGCCTCAACCTTGCAGTGATCCTCCTGGCTCAGCCACCAAAGTGCTGGCATTACAGGTGACACTACCATGCCCCATTTGGCCTTAACTTTCTTTGGTTTGGTTTTGTTGTTAAATTGAGTTCTTTTAATGTTCTGGCTTCTCAGCAGTGTATGACTTACAAGTATTTTCTGTGTCCTAATTCTTGATGCCATCAGTGGTGAGTACTCAGGCTCTGGAGAAGCCATGAGGGCAACAGCATCTGGGCCTCATAACTCTGTGCTGAGGCCCTGTGAGTGTGGCAAGTCTCAAATGGAGAACCAACCATGTCTGAGACCCAGCCAAGATGGGGGTCCCTACTGAAGTCTCACTGTCCTTTCTGCATGGGGTAACTTATTCCTGAGGCAATCACTTAGACTCACACTACCAGGCCATTTTAATGTGTCTTTTTGCTTAAGACAGTCTCACCGTGCAGTGCAGGCTAGCCTTGAACTCACAATGATCTTCCTACCTCAGCCTCCCGAATGCTGAGATTATCAGCGTGCAAGATCACACCTAGGAACAATGGCTAAGACAGTACGTCTCTAACTCCCTACTCTGGGAGGCTGAGGCCAGAGGATCACAAGTCAAAGCCCAGCTTGGGAAACGTTAGCAACTTAGTGAGGCCCTGAGCATAGAGCAGCGATGGTGAAATTTTAGAAAGTTTTAGAGCTTTCCATGACACAAATGGCCTCCTGCTGCAGCATACGTGCCATAAGTTTGTCACCACTGCCTAAGGATATAACTCAGTATGAAGGCCCTGGGCTCAATCCTCAATATACAAAAAAAAGAATAAACTTTAGGTGAAGAAAATGTTCTAATTAATACATTCTTTGTATTCTGTAGTGAAACTTTTTTTTTTTAAACAAGGGGCTCACGAGACAGAAAGTACACCTCAGGCTCACAACAGCCATACTGTGGTGGGTGGCCCTCCAGGCCTGAGCCACAGTTGTTCCTACTGAGCCAGCACCAAGGACAGGACAGGGTGTCTGCTCCTCCTGAGCCCCGAGTCCACCTTTGGACCCCTTTCTTCTCCTGTGACACGGACATGGGAGGACAGGCCCTGTGGGAACCTGCTTCATACCAGTCTCCTGGAGGACAGGGACGACAGGCTCTGCACACAGCAGGTGAGGATGTGTGCGGGCTGGGCTCGATGCAACCACACCACGGTCTGGGCCTCCCTTCCCAGGAGAGTAACAGATGTAAGGCGGCTGTCCTTGGGGGTCAGATGTGGCACATGCACACGCAACCCTCACCCAATAAGGCACACAGCGGGCCTGCAACTTTGGCTATTGCGCCTTTATTGCAAATAAAATGTGAGGTATAAGAAGCAGACCCAGGGCCTGTGCCTGCCTGGCTGAGGAGGACCAGCTCCTCTCCTGCCAGGCCTGGTGCTGGGGCCCAGAGCAGCCTCGAGGATACGGCCGTCCCTGATGAGGTAGCTGCATCGTAAGCCCCCCAAGTCCTCCTCCCAGGGCTGCCCAGCGCCCATGCAGATCCCTGCCTGAGGGGAGCAGGAGAGGTGGGCACAGCTGGCTTTGAGAGCTGCCCTCGACTTGTGTTCCAGCCTCTCAGGGCAGCCTAGGGGCCAGGGTGGCCAGCAGAGGCACACCGAGTGGCACTGTGGGTCACTGCTGCTCCAGGCAGTCCTCGGTCACTCCCTGTGCGGCCAGCTCAGCCAGCACATTCTGCAGGTAGTTGGGGTCAGGGTAGCCGTGGCCAGTCACGTTGCGGTCCATCTCCGTTTTGTGGTGGATCTCGTTCCACACTACGGTGTCTGTCTCGCCTGTGGTGTTGGACGTCCCGATTGTGAAGATGAGTCGCCTCTTCCAGGCCACCTTCAGGAGCTCCAGGACCTGCAGGGAGAGTTGGGGTGAAAGGGAGGGAGAGGAGAGAAAAGGAAGGGCAGAGCGGGAGTCTACTAAACAATGTGCTGGGGGCCCTGCTCCTCCACCTCCTCCCTCGGAAGTAAGCTCAACCAGTATAGCGCCCTAACCCGCCAGTGGGATCCCCAGGACTCCAGTTGCAGACCCACCAGTACCATGGGCTCTCATGCTAGTCTCAGCCTGGCCAGGCGGCCCCCTCTAAGCAAGCAGTGGGCACTGCCACCTACACGGCCACTTGGGGCAGAGCCCAGGCAGTGCCCAAATCCGCTGTCCTTAACACAATCCATCCTGGATGCACTGCCTGCTGCCCTCCCTGCTGGTACCCAGGGCTCTGCCTCTGCATCCCCACTGCCTAACCAGCCTCTGTTCCTGGCCCCCTAAGGGTCCTGGCTCCGGGCTGGGGATGTGGCTCGATGATAGGGGATTTGCCAGGTGAGGTACTAGGTTCCATCTCCAGCAATGAGGGGAACAAAGAGCCCAGGGACCACCCAGCGGCCAGAACAGTGGTTCTTAATCCACAGGAGCCCTTCCTGTGGCTTCAGGGTGCCAAAGGCGTCCCCTTCCCATTAGCATCCCACTACTTAGGGCTGGACAGAGGGCAGCCTGGCCTTCAGCCTCCACCTGCTGCTGTCCCCTGGAAGGCTCTTTCAGGCCTCCTGTAGGGTCTCAGGCAGTCAGAACAGCTCAGCCACAGGGGTCCCCAGTCCTCCTGTGGCTTCTCATGACCCCAACTCCGAAAAGCAGGAAGCCTGCGATGCCACAGCACTGCCCCTGGGTCCTCAGCGGGTCCTGGGGGAAGCACTGTATGCAGGCCTCGCCCTTGGGTCTTGTCATCCCTGCACCAAATGGTAAGCCACGGCAGATGCGTGGCTGAGGGGCCTTACCTTTCGGCCCTGGGCATTGTCTGGGAGGTAGCACTGGCGGGGGAACCCTCTGGCGGTAAATGGCTTCCCAGGGTTGGGGTGTTCAGGGCCCTGCAGGAGGAACACAGGATGGGAGGGCTGTGGCAGCAACCTGCTGCAGAGGCTGACAGGCACAGAGCTGGGGCATCAGCCCCTAGCCTTCCTGGCTGGGTCTATGCCTGTACTCAAGGCCCAAGGTCAGGAAGGCCTCTGCCCACACCCGGCCTCCCTCCAACTTCGCCCACTACCCTTCTCTTTCCCAGGTGATACTGGGAACCCTGCAAGGGCCAACATGGGCCTGCCTGCTTCTCTGGTAGCCCTCTGGGCACCACGCTCTTAGGGCCTTCCTCAGTCACCCCACACATGACAAAGGCTCAGCAGGTCATAGCTGGCTCTAAGAAGTGGCCCTCTGGGTGGCAAACTGGGTAAAAGGGGGAAGGGTAGGATGAGATGCTCGGCCTTGTGCCCTGTCGTCTACTGCACAGGCCAAGCCCACGCACAGCTCATGGTCGCTCATGGTCTGTGGCTCGTGCCTTTCCAGCCCTGTTTCCACACTGAGCCATGTGGGAGTGGGAGGCTGCCAGGAGAGGCATGGGGCTCAGACCTCGCTCTGGCTCCTGAGCCCCCATGTTCAAGCACAGTGCAATCCACCATGAGCCAAGACCTTCGGTGGCTTCTGGATACCCTTTGGTTCCTGAGCTGGCCTCTCAGAAACAAGGGTTTGCCAGGTGTGGGGTGACTGGCAAGGTCCCTTCCCTGCAGGCTCCTTGTGCAGCAGGTGCCCTTACCTGGATGCCGTGGGCAATGCTGTAAACTATGAGTATTGTCCCGCAGTCCTCGTGACCGGGGAGTGACACCTGGAACCTGAACACCTCCATCTTCCCCTGGGGCTGGGTGCCAGTCTTCTCCCCGTAGATGGTTTTGCAGGAGGGACACCGCAGACTACCGTCCTGGGACAAGGTAGATGCAGCAGTCTAAGCTGTGGCTCCAGGTGAACCTGGATAGTCACCTGGCCTTGGTGACAGAAGTCATACAGCATCCAGGAAGTCTCCTCTCCCAGAAACTGGCTTCCAACAATAAGTTGTCAAAAGGTAAGTCTGAGTGACAGGGGTGCTTGCTTGTAATCCCTGCATTCAGAAGGCTGAGGCAGGAGGACTGCCATGAGTTCAAGGCCAGCCTGAACTACATACTGAAACCTTGTCTCAAGAAACTAAAAATCGGGGCTGGAGATTTAGCTCAGCGGCATAAGTGCCTGCCTTGCAAGCAGGCAGTCATGAGTTCGATCCCCGGTACCGATAAAAAGGAAAAAGACCAAAAAAAGAATCTAAAAATCAGGAACAGGATTTAGCTCAGCAGCATAAGCACTGCCTGGCAAGCGTGAGGTCATGATTTAGATTCCTGGTACCAAAAAACACTGCAAAAAACAGGGCCGGGAATATAGCTCAGTGGCACCATGCCTGCCTGGGAAGTATGAGGTCATGAGTTCAATTCCCCATACCACACGGTGGGGGGGACCAAAAAAACCAGGCTGGGGATGCAGCTCAGCAGCACGGTGTCTGCCTGGCAGGTGTGAGCTCTGAAGTTTGATTCCTGGTACCAAAAGAAATCAAAAACATAACCAAGAAATATCAAAAGGTATTATGCCAGTCTCATGGAATTCTTGTAAAGGGGCAAGAAGACATCAAGAGACTGGCCAGGCAGGAAAATCAGGCTTTTGAGCACCTCCAGCCTTATCACCTTCAAAATGGAACAGATTCTGTGAAGATCTGGGGCTCCTGCAGGCCAGCTGCTGAGCATGCACAGGGTGCGACAAGGGCCCGGGCCAAGCCAGACAGCGGCCATGCGATTTGGTTCCCTCTGTCTTCTCAGTCTCTGTACACCCTGGCAGCCTCGGGTCAGTAGTGAGGAATGTGAGGGCCTCAGATGACCGTGGTGCCTCGCCTGAGCATTTTCTTCCCCAGCACACGGATGTCACAGGAAGATGGGAAAGGCTTCTAAGTGATGGGGTGAGATGGAGCTGACAGCTCAGGAGAGCCCAGCATCTCCTCAAGCCTTGCTGGAAAGCTGAGGTGCCCAGCCCCAAAAGCATGGGCAGCCTGGGCCAGCCAGCAGGGACTGCAGAAAAAGTCCCCGGGCCAGCTCCAGGCTGTCTTGCCAGCAGCAACCTCATGCCTGCCACCCAGAGCCCAGCAGCTGACCCCATCTGACTACGGGTCAAGGACCGCAGCCATCCCAGGACTGCTTCTATCAGAGACAGCAGGTCAATTCGCCCACACCCAGCTGCGGCAGGCACCTTGTTCTCACCTTGTTCCCGTTGCAGTACATGGCCAGCAGGCACAGCAGGTGAAAGGCATGGCTGCACTTGGTGAGGCGGCCCACGGCCATAGGCCCAAGGGTCTTGCTGTCAGTCACGTCACTGTACCCGGAAACCACAGACAGCTTCTCCATACAGATCATGCAGTCCTGGGGGGACCAAACACAGGCACACTTGCCAAGCCGGCTGGAGAAGCGGTTGGGAACACAGGACTCACCAGGCCCTGCATCCAGGAAAGGCTAAACTGAACCAGGAGCCTAAGGGGCACTGGACTGGCAATGGGATGGAAAGGACATGAGGAGGAGAGGCTCAGAGCTGCTTTCTCCAAAGACATGGGAGAACGGGTGGGCTTGCAGGTGAGGAAAGAGAATATACTCAAACATGAAGAGCACACAGGCAGCTCAGGTCCACTGGGTGGATGTGGACAGATGAGACGAGGCCCAGCAATAGCCAGATGTGGGCTACAGGCTCAGCAGCCACCTGCATGGTGGCTACGAGGACAGTGATCTGCAGAGGAGGAGCCCAGGGCAGGAACACAGGGCCAAGAGAGAGCTGTCTGAGGAGGAGCACAGAAAGGCTCCAGGAAGGGAGGGGATGAGGATAACTTTAAGGTTTCTGTTCCCTTTCCTACCCAGACTTTCTTATACTTAACTCTCAGGAAGGTAGCATGGGAAGCCCTTGGCTCTATGCTCCACTCCTGACCCTGAACCCTTCTAAGAATTCCAGGAGTTCCCAAGATGTGGCTGAATCCAGTGTTCATGATTGGTTCACTGTCTAGCACTGGGATTGGTGGTGTGAGTGCCACACCCACCCAAGGGCGGAGCCGACATATACTGTAAGAGCAGGAAAAAGGCATCTTCTCTTTTGCTGGGTTCACTCTGTTTTCCTGGGCTTCCCTTCACGTGGAATTTACTCTTGTCTCCAAACAAGAACCACTACAGCACGGTACCCAGAATGCGTACCTCATCCGGAGGGGTCTTCAGCTCCTCGGTGTAGTTTCTGATCACCTGTTCTGGCTCCGGTTTTGGAGGGCCCCCTGGAAGAGAACGGCAGATAAGCAGGGTCCTAGGGATGCAAGTTGGGGAGGGTGATGCCAGAGAGGAAGGTGGACAGGCAGAGATCCAAGCTGCAGGAGAAAATGTTAACAAGGCTGAGACGGAAAATTAGCACGCAAAACAGATACTGGCAGCCCCACCAGGCCACCTGCATGAAGCTGGCCCAGACCAGGGGCCCTGGAGGCAGTGGTAGTGGTTGAGGATGGGCAGAAAGAGAGTAACACCTGCATCTCTCATCACACCCCAGGAAACTCAACCCAGGCCCTGTGGAGGATCTCATAAACATCCAACAGCAGGTTTGAGGACAAGCTTCCCCTGGACCATCCTAAAGTACAGTTTCTCCAACCTTCATCGCTCTTGTTTGGTGATTTCAGTGAGAGGGGCGAGATCTGAGTCCACCTGACCCAGCAGCCTAGCGCACATGGGCATGTGTGTGTGCTCCCTGAACACCATACCACAATGCTGCTATGTCTCGCACCACCAGCTCAGAAGTAGGAAAAGCACCTTGGCTGGCCCAGGTGGCTCCCCAGCCACATGCATGAAGGGATAGGAGCTCCCAGCAGATGCTGGCACAGCTGGGGTTTTCCAGGCAGTAGCAGCAGCAGGATCATATACCACTGCAACTGAGCCCTGGCAGGGGGAGAAGGTGTGAACATGGGACCTGTGGAAGCAGCCCCCTGGCAGGGGTCCTCATGCTATCTCAAGGACAGCCCAGGTTTCTGAGAATGGAAGGGGTTCCTGGTTTGAGCCTAAAATCACAGCCTAGCCTGTGACTACAAAGATATAAAAACAAAGGCTCAACAAATGAATGTTCTCCAGACCAGAGAAGGTTAGTGACGGCTACCCAGGAAGTGGCTGGCTATACGTGAGGGCCTGCCACCAGGAACACTGGGCTTGATTCTGCCTCTCATGGGTCACAGTCCTATCATCCCCGAGCCTCAGTTCCCTGAGCTAAAAGCCCAGTACCTAACAAAGTGTCACTGGTATAGGCTTTAACTGCTAGTACCTGAGAAGGGCAGCGACCAGCAGGGGACACCAAATGTGGTCACTCATACCTATCTCTATCTCCACCCCCATCCTCGTACGCACCCCACACACCCCCACTCCCATATGCCACATACATATCTGCATCCACACAGACTTCCAGAACCCACACCCTGCTCACTGAGAAAGTCAGGCCAAAACAATGAGCACAGGGTAACCATGCACCAGCCAGGACACCCCACCCAGAGGAGGCTTTTCTTTTAGAAAAATCTGGTGGCTATAGGACAGTCTCCTGGGGCCCACAGACACTCTCAACAGCAGGTCCTTGGGTCAAATAAGGCTGGCTTGGTACCCACCCCTCATCCACATGGCCTTTCAGAAGTGAAAGGAGCTGGCACGAGCCAACCCTTCTTAGCTGGGCATGGTATTGGGTTCAAACTCCAGTACCATACAAATACACAAAGGCTGGCCAGGTGACTATCACTCCACAAAAGAGACATCTGGGCCCAGGAAGGCCAGAGGATCCCACACAGGCTGGGCACCTAGAATGCTGCCCACGTATCTGGCACACACCCATCTCCACCAAGGCAACTAAGAGCAGCATGTGTGCAGTCCAGGGCTGGGGTCAGGAGCCTAAAGCTGCCCCTCCCTGGACACAACTCCTGGCCTATGAGGTGGGGATCAGACAAGACAAAGGCTGTGATCAGACCAGCTGTCTCTTTCACCTGTCCTTCCCGGTCCTCTCAGAGCAACTCACCTAAGCCACAGGCAACACTCATGCTAGAGACATCTGCAGGTCACAAAGCCAGGCATGGCTTGAACTGCCACAACAACCCAGGCTAGCAGGGCCATAGTCATTCCTGCATAGCATGATTGACCTCACAGGCCACCAGAAGAGCTCAGAACTTACTACCATGCCAGCCTTATCACATGTGCCATACCTTCTGTGGGTCTGAAACCCTTTCTTGCCAAGCCACATACCAAGCAGGACAGAGGTCAACCGAGAACCCACCAAGTAGCTCAGCTCTGTGCTCTACTGCAGAGCCCTTTTATAAGACACATGGCCTTGCTGGAGGGGCTGTCACCCCATCATCCCTAGCCAGGCCTCATTAGCACCTTGATGTTTACAGACTCTTGCTCCACTGTGCCTGGAAAACAAGATTCCCAGAAGCCACCTCTGCTGCCAAGCGAGGGCCAGGAGACAGGGCCACAGGGAGCTGGGCAGGTCAGAGAAGAGCACTTTGCATGGAAGAGTCGGAGGCAGCGAGACTCGGAGGAGGCTTAGCAGAGGCCAGAGAGCGTTTGTGAATAGCAACTACCTTTCATGGACATTTTCCTTAGTTTCTTAACTGTGCTGTGACTTTTAGAGGCCAGGCGGGAGGCGGGAGGGCTGGCGGGCTGGGGTGCGCGGCTAAGACACACGGGGAGTCCAATGGCTGACATCAGCACACTTGTCATGCCTGCACGGGTGCGAGATCAGACATGCAGGGGAGAAACATTAGAAGAAACACTTGGCACGCAACACCCACAAACCCTGCCAAGTCCGAGGTGGCACCAGGAACGGCTCCCAGGACCTAGAAATCTCCTGGGGAATCTGGCCTACTGGAGGCTGTCCGGGCTGCACTCCAGGATGGTAACCAGGCCCGGTGACATAGCCTGGTTGTTCACCAGTGCCCTGCTGTGGATACCCCAAGTCCTGAGGTATCTGTCTGAGCACTTGCCTGTCCCTAGAGCATGCAGGGGGCAAGGCCAATGGCTGTAGGAGAGCAGAGGACAAAATGCGACCCCAGGGAGCGGAGTAGTTCTGGGTAGCATCTCCCCATACACACTGCAGGGAGAGGGAGCAGATGCGGCAACAGGGCAGGGCACAGCCAAGCTGCAGAAATGGGGAGGGGCCTCCCCTGCAGGGCTGGCTTCAAGGGCTCAGGCTCACCAATGACCCCGACACCTCTAGGTCTGACCACATCCTCTTGGCTTGCGGTCACACTGCCTCCTGCAGGTTACAGTCCGCTTTCCATGCCCCATATGACCTGTCTAGGGGACCCAGCTTCAGTGACATTGCTGAGGTAGGAACACTGACCCTTAGGACTGCTCGTACACTGAGGGAACCAAGGGCCTCAACTGTGGTTTCTTTCACTGGTGCCACCAGACAAGAAGCTGCAGCGGGCAGCAGTGCATCTGCCAGGCCGGCCACTGTGGGCTGCACAAGAACAAAGGCTCTCAGCCTGGCCAATGTGCCCAGTCAGGGACAGAGGCAGGGGGTAGCCCCTAGTAGCCTGGGCAGCATAGTTGAGTCATGCAGGGGTACTGTGGCAGCCACTCAGCCAGAGACCAAACTGCATGTCAGATGAGCCAGGTTCCAGCCTGGGCTCCCATGGGACTGCTGCCGGTTCACTGCAATGCCACATGCTTCTCAAGGTTGTTGGAGGCCTCAGATTTAACTAATTCCCTTGGAAACTAAATGTCAAAGGACAGAAAGACAGCTGGCACAGGTGGCTGCAAGATGGAACAGATCAGAAAGAAAAGCAGTGTTTCTGAAGAGAACCCAGAGGTTTTGCATTGATCACGTCCTCTGATGGGAACATGTCCCCCACCAGTGCCTCACTTAGCTCTTAAGCGCCACTTCTGAGAAGGTCTGAGAAGGCCTTAGCCTTCTGCTGAACCAGGCCACATCCCCTGCCAGCTCCTTCTCCTTGCTTTATTTATCTTGTCAGCTCTTTCCTGTCTGAGATCAGCCATGCACCTGCTAGCTGACCATCTTTCCTTCAGCACACGTCCCATGGGTGAGGGCACTGCCTGCCTACTGCCGTCTGCCCAGCACCAGGCAGGGTGTGATCCATAGAAGGCACGGTGCATGTGTCTCCTGAGGAACAAAGACATTCCTAGGGCCACTGTCGCCAGCCAGAGTCATGACATTCCTGCTCTGTCCAACACAGGACCCAGCACCCTGAACTCCAGCCAGACACCAGTCTCAAAGCAGTTGCTTGAGAAAGCAGCCTTGCTTCATGGCTCTAGCTTCCTGTTAAGTCTGCAAACCACTCTCCACCTGACACATCACAGAAACGACAAGCAATAACTGGGACAGCGTAGGGGCATCAAGCAGACTGGCTCATCTCTCTCAGCAGCAGGGGCTCAGGGACAGCCCAAAAGCATCTTAACAGCTAGGGTACCAGCCTAGGGTTTTCCTGAGTGCATTTTCACCCTGAGCCCCAAAACAGTGCAGCCCCCATTTGCACTCTCAACCCTCAAATACAAGTACCCTTCTGAATATCAAAGGTCAGTCTTTCACTAGGTGCCAAGGCAGAGAGGCAAGCTGGTTCTCCTTGGCCCTGGCTTTCCCCAAGTTCCCACCCAGGGTCACTCCTCCCCAGCTGGCAGGTCCTGGGCAGGCTCCTAAGCAGTGTTGTAAGAGGCAGACCTGGCTGCAGAGGCTGCTTCCTCTTTGGCGGGCTGGATGTGAAGAAGCTGGCCCCAGCTCTGCAGACCTGGCCCCATGCCACAAAGATAAGGGTTGGGTGAAGTGTACCAGAGAAGTGGCCACCTGGAGACATAGCTCCTCCAGCCCACACAGTCCTGCCACAACATGACCACCTACTTGTAAATAGAGCTGCAGAAATCTGCCCCCAAATGTGCACCTCCCTGTGGCTAGGTGTGGTACATTCTTGAATCCACAAATGTGGTTCAGGGTGAGACAGGACATTCTCAGTCCTTGCTTCATTCCCTGGTGCCCCAGAAGATGGTCCCAGTAGAAAGTCAGTCACAGAGTCTTGGATTAACTGATCAACTGACTGACTTTGCAGTGCTAGGAACTGCACCCAGGGCCTTCTGCCCGAGTTGTGTTTATATCTCCAGCCCTTTTTACTTTCAATTTTGAGTCAGGGTCTTGGTAAGTCATCCCGGATGGGCTGCAACTTACCATCCTCCTGCCTCAGCATCCCAGAATGCTGGGATTACAGGTGTTACCACGAAGTCCAGCTTGGAGCCTCAAATTTAGGAGGGGTGGCAGTCTGGCTGCCCACACCAATTTCTACTATTTCCCAGCTGGAACCAAGTTCCTGAACAGGTTAAAATACTTGCTAAGGGGCTAGGGATGTAGCTCAGTGATACAGCACTTGCTACCATGCATGAAGCCATAGATTTCTTCCTTGGCAATGCAAAGAAATTTAAGAAGTAAAAAGAAGAAAAAATAAAAACCTGTCCACCTCTAGAATTGCTGTGACAGTCAAGGTGACAGTGACATTAAGAAGAAGCAGGAACATAGGCTGGAGCGGGCTCTCAACCTCGGGGACACAAGGGGCTGGTGCCAACAGATGCCCAGGCACATCTGACAGAAGTGACTTGAATCTGTGTCATAGCCTCTAGGTGACACCACTTGGTCCTGCCACCCTGAGAGCCACGTGAGTGCCTGGCCCGTTTATAGGTAACCTTTGTCCACCAGCACTGCACCACATTCCCACAAACACGTGCATATGGTACCATGGACTCACCATAGCACCAGCACAACTGAACCCAGAAGTGGACCGGAACTCGGGTCAGCATTTGCCACGCTCTCCCTTGGGCCCAGCTGAAGGCCAGGGAGCAACTGCAGTATCAGGAGCGTGATCTGGGCACTCTCCCTGCGTCCCGTTGCTCCTCTGCAGGTTCCTTGCCCATTCCATGTGGGGCAAGGGACTCCACCTCCTCCAGACCGCCCGCCTGAGAGGCACACCCACACTCCTGCTATTCCTGGGACCACAGTCACACCCACTGAAGACCCCACCTCACTCAGGAGCACCAAAGCATCATAGGAAGAGTGGAAGCCCAGAACATCTGAGGTTGAGTTTCCAGCTTTTGAAATTCTTGAAGCCTCAGCTTCCTCAAGTATAAAGTGGGAATAAAAATCTCCACCTCACAATGTTATTTAGGGATGAAACACACAAACATGCACAGGAGCCCCAAGTCCCTTGTCTGAATTACTGTTGTGATGACCACATGACTGTGACAGCAGGACGCTGCAGGTCTTCCATCTCCCTCCTCACCACCTCTCCAGCACCAGGTCGGAAGGCTCTAACCTCTGCATCACTCCACCTTGGACCTCGCCCAGGTGTGAGGGCAGGCTCTACCTGTCCACCTAACCACCTGTGCGGTTGCAGGGAGCCACCAGAAACAGTCACCAACTCCCCTGCATCCCCTGCATCCCCTGCACTGGTACATTCCTTTCCCATATACTTCACAGCACCCACAAGCTACTCTGAATAATTTCAGTGGTCCCCAACATGTTAAGAGGACTTCACAGAGTGTGCACCCACATGGAGGTATGAAGTGATCTAAATGGACCCAACGGTGTTTACTCAAGGCCAGACAAGACTAAGTACAGCCACGAGGCTCTAAGAGCCCCAAGCCACCCTGCCTATAGCATTTCAGGACCAAAAACTGGCTCTAACTGTAATCCCTTTCCTGTATGTGGTCTTGGGGACCACCCAGGCCCTCCCCTCCCTCATCCTCTCTCTTTTCTTCCTCCTCTCCTCTCCTCTTTTCCTTTTCTTCCTCCTCTCTTTTCCTCTCCTTTCTTTTCTTTTTAAATTTTGAAGCTGGTTCTTGCTAAATTGGTAAGTTATCCAAGCTGGGCTTGGACCTTTGATCCTCCCATTTCAGCCTCTTAGAGCACTAGCACTACAGGCGTGTGCTACCACATTTGGTTTCTGTTTTTTTTTCTAACTGCAATTTATTTCGATATTAAAAAAATATACAAAGGCCAAAACTGGTGGCACACACCTGTAATCTGAGTTACTTAGAAGGCTGAAGCAGGAAGAGCACAAGTTTAAGTCCAACCTGAGTAATACAGTGAGACTTTATCTCAAAAGATAAAAAGGGCTGGGGTGTAGCTCAGTGGTACAGTGCTTGCCTAGCATGTGCAAGGCTCTGAGTTCCATTCTGATACCACACATGCAAGCAGGTACGCACGCCAAGATCCACTCCCCAGAGGGCCGAAGGAGGGGCAGGCAGGCTCACTCATTGGCAGTACACCATCACCAGAAAGAAGCACTGCTCCCCAGAGCCCCTTGGGGTTGGCCGAAGACCCAGGTGGTGGGAAGCCCCACCCCACCACCTCCCCAACAAGCCCTGAGAGGGGGCTGTCTCTTCAGGGACCTACCTGCAAGCGCTTGCTGGACCCTGCTAGGCTTTGGCATCTGCACGGGCACAGTGGTGGGGATACTTCCAAGGCTGCTGGAGGGACCGCTGGGGAGGGAGGCACTTGGGGGAGAGAAGAGAGCAGAGCTGAGTATGCGATGTGGTCTCCGAGGGAGCAGGGCTGGGGCTCAGGCTGAGCTGGAACAGGGAGCTTCCAGGCTTTTTCCAGGTTCACTTTCCCCACCGGCCCTGGGTGAAGATGCTCCCTGCTCTGCTCTCATGGGCACTTCAGACTCTCAAGCTGATCCTAAAGGAGAAGTTAGGGCTGCTTCGAGCTCACTGGCTTCATCAACACATGAGGCTCTCAGGGTTCTTGTGCAGAGTTGGGGAATCCAGCAGAGGACACTCCTTAATGAGCCATCTTGCCCAAGGTCACCAGGGACAGGCCAAGTCAGCACCATGACCTCTGACACAACACTCCCAGGAGGACCTAACAGTATTTCTGTGGGATTCCTGCCAAAACTGTACCACCACATTCCAACTATGGGGAACAATCAAACAAACCCAGATTAAGGACACTTGATACAGCACCTGCTTAGGGGAGAGGGGCTGGGAAAGATAAAGAGTGCCTCGGAACTGGTGCCAGAGAACAGGAAGAATCCAGGGACACAGAGGGGGCAGAAGTGGAAAATCGGAGAAAATGGAAAAACAGCCTTTAGTTTTAGTTCATGATGTTTTCACACCCGTGTAATTAACTTCCTGGCGCTGAAGGCGCTCACCCCAGAAGACACTGCCTGGGCGTGGCTCGGTGACTGGCCTTATCCCCAGCATTGCAGAAAGCACTGCCATCAACACAAAACCCCACCTCTTTTGGGCAGAAGACAGGGAGTGAAGGAGATACGAAAACTCCAGCACTATTTTTCCTGTAAATCTAAGAGTGGTACAAAATAAAGGAATTTCTTTGGATGTTTTAGGTAATGAGGGATCTGGGGCCAGAAATATAATCTAATAACAGTGCTTGCCCAGCACATGGAAGGCCCTAAATTCAATCTCCAGCATCACCAAAATAAAATTTACTTTTAAAAATGAAGGGTTTGATTCTCATAGCGACTATGTTCAGTCAAGCTCCACATGGAGGACCCTTGGCGGGGAAAGCCCAAGTTCCCGCCGGCTGTTCCTCCTTCCAATTCCTGGGTTCACTGCCTGAGATGATGAAATAGGAAGGTTATAAAACTCTCCCACATGGTCACCGCACTGGGCTCCCCAGGACAGGGCCTGTTTCAAAGTTGGGTCTAGCCCAGAGCAGGACTGCCACTCAGCCAATAGGCAACCAACAGCTGCCAGCAAAGCAGCCAGGGCCTCCTGGGCCACCACAGCTCCTGCCCGCCCCACCCCAGCCATAGTTACAGTCCTGTGCAGGAGCACTACGAGGGGTAAGCAGACCTCACCCCAACTAGGAACCTCCACACTCAGCCAGAGCTGAGGCCACAGGGCCTCCTGTGGGTGCTGGAGCAGGACATGTACTCTGGCACTCACCTGAGTAAAGAAAGGTTTGTTCGAATTTCTTAGGAATATTTTTCTCAAGTGAGATGGCCTCTGTGACTCGGCTGGCAGATGAGTAGCTTCTTAGCTTCCTCGCTACTTGAAGCCAAAGAGAAAGACAGATATGGCCCTATACCTGCCTGGGACTGCAGAGAGCGATGGGAGCTAACTCCTGGGCTGAGGTCTCGGTTCCACTGAAGTGTGTCATCAGGGATAAGCCCCACCTCTTCCTTTTTTTCTTTTTTTAAGTGCTGAGGATTGAATGAGGGTCATCCCAGTGAACTATGTCCCAAACTGTTTTTATTTGCATTTTTCAGACAGAGTTTCATGAAGTGCAAAACAGCCCAGGCTGGGACTGAACTTGCCAGCCCTCTTCCTCAGCCTTGTAAAATTCTGGGATTATAGGTGTACACGTGGCTTAACAATAGCCTTTCTCAGTGACTCAGAGGTACCGTAAGTGAAGCCATTCTTGACTCCAACTCAGGCCTCCCAGGCAAACCCTTAGAGGGAGCACTGAGCTTCAGACTTAGGCAGGAAGTCAGAAAACTAAGCTTCTCTCTGAAACTCTATGAAATGAGCAAGGATGCCATGGGCTAGAGGAGAGGGAGCAAGCCCATGATCCGCCCCCAGAGATTGGGTCCTGGGTGGCTCCTCCTCCCAGAACACCAGGAAGTGGAATCCCCCCTCCCAGGAAATGGGGAGGCCTGACTTGAGGTTCTACCAGCCCACAAAGCGGCTCACAGTTCCTAGGAGGAATGCTCACACCAGTTGTACCCACCACCAGAACCACATACTGAAGAAAACCCTCCAGCGTCATCACTGCCCTGTCTCTCTTACACAGCACCTCCCCATCTGTGTCCCTGCTGCGGTAAGCAGGAAACAAGCCCTACGAAGATGCAGCGGTTCCCAAGATGGGACTCAGGTCTCCGACTCAAGACCGTTCCCCAAGGCGGGGATCCTTCTAAGTGTGCTCCTCTGAGAATCCCTCTAGCCCTTGTTCATGCCTGTCCTCCTCTATTCCTGGTCTCCCTATATCAGGCCGTCCTTGGCTTGCCTGGAGGTCCTCTTTGGACCACCTCCAAATGGAGCCAAGCACACGACTCAGAACTTTCAGTCTTTGATGCAGATAGGATCTGACACTCCCACACAAGGGGCAGACGAGGAGGCTCTCCAGAGGGAAGATTCAAAGCTTCTTCCCCACCAAGAGCCCTGGGATCTGGGCCACAGCCAGCACCAACTTGGAACACTGATGATGTGTACCATGAGGGCCCAGGTTGTGAAGTTCCAGACTCTGCTTCCAGCACTGGCACCCAAGTAAGCTGTGTGCCCTACGCGTGTCAAGCCCTTCTTGAGCTCCAATCTCCCTACAGGATCAGAATAACTTGAAAGGTTCCAGGGCAGGGGGGAGGCTCAACTTGAAACCCAGGATAAATGCCCTTGGTTCCCCCGGTCTCTGACAAGGCAGAGGAAACAAAGGCAGGTCCCCAGGGTCCTCACTAAATCCTGTAGTTAAAGCCAAAGGAAACTGGTCCAGTCCAACCCTTAATCACAAGAGAGGAAAACAGAACTTTGGAAGGATCAGGGCTGGTCCATGAGACCAGCAAGCTGCTGCCAGGCCCCGCCTAAATCCATGATTCTAATCACATGGCTGAGACCTTCATGTCCAGAAGTGCCTGGCCAGCAGCACGAGAAAGTCCTCAGAAGCAAGGATAGCAGCACAAAGCCACCAGAGGTGCAAGTGGGACCATTTGGCAAGCACATAGGCCACAAGCTGAACCACAGCTCTGAGTTCCAAAGCTGTTGGTCATGATCACCACCCAAGTCAAATGCCATGCAAGGTGTGACACACCTGCTATTACAAGACAGGAGTGTGCATGACACACTTTGCAAAGTTTTCCACCCAACATCAGAAGTTTTGGTGCTTAAAGGGATAAACTCTAGCTACAAGGAAAATTTAAAAAGCCAGTAGCTTAGTTACAGATGACACACCTTGTCATGTATTACTGCACATCCCCAGGGACACAGGGAAATCGTGCAGCCAGTTCCCCCACACTGAGCAAGAAGCGATATAAAAACACATGCATTCCAAAAATAAAAAGACATGGGTTCCACAAAAACTGGGTTGTCACCAGCTCACATGGCAGCTCTCTAGTGGCCACTAGCAAAGTTGGTTCTCACTGTCCTCAGACCTGACTGCCCACCTTGCCACCTTCTCCCCTGGGTATCCAGTAACTTTCACCAGGTGCTGCTGTGTATTCACTTGGCTCTGAGAAGCTGACTAAAGCCCCAGGGAGAACAAGGTGCTAGGTGTTCTTGGTTTTCCCAGCACCTGCTGGAATAAGAGGTCAGGTGATAATGAAGCCCCTCTGGCTCTTGAGCCTGGCAGAGGAGGACGACTGAGGGAGCCCAGGCCAAGTTACAGATTTAGCATGGGAAACTCCCATGTTTCAAAGCCTGGATAGGCCCATGCGAGTGAAATGACACCCCTCCCAGCCCCAGGAAAGTAGAGGAAACAGGTATGGGCCCACACCCACCCCAGGAGGCAGGCTGCTTTGAGGCCATCTCACCTAGCACAGCCGGCCGGCCTGGTTCCCCAGGCTCCCAGTGCCGGGCAAGCAGCCGCTTGCATGGCTGATAGCCCAGCAGTCACCTTCCTGCCACTTGCCTGGCTTGTGGCAGTAGGGCCCAGTCAGCATCTGCAGGCCTCTGGAAAGACCATGACAGATTGTTAGGGGGATACTAGTGAGTGTTCTGGGCTAGAAGGGAGCAAAGCCTCACGTGATTTGACCCCAGAATCCAAACTATAGCACTATTTAATGGACAATCTCAAAATAATTTATAAGACCACCGAGAGTGGTGGCACATGCCTGTAATTCCAGCCCTCAGGAGGCTGAAGCAGGAGGAGTGATGCAAATTCAAGGTCAGCCTGGGCTACATAATGAGTTCAAGGCCAACTTGAACTGTATAATGAGACCTTGTCTCAGAAAACAAGCAAAAATAATAATTTGTAAGAATTTAAGGCTAGGTGTGGCTCAAGACAAGTCTGGGCAATTTAATGAGATCCTGTCTCAAAGTAAAAATAAACAAGGGTTAGGGATGGTACTCCTGTGGCACAGACTGTAACTGAAATCATTCCCAGTGGCATACAGTACTCACCGGCACTCTGCATGGGACTGAGTCTCACAGGCTGGGGGTCGACTTGGGAGCCCTGCTCACTCAAATCCATGTAAAAGTCCACATAGGGCCCAATGACACCTCCACAGGCTCCCAGTTCCCAGAATATTTCCGACACAAGCTCCTACTCTGGAAGAAGTTGCCCTGAGGACCCTGACAGAGCCAAGGCCCACTGCCCTCCACGTTAGGGCCTTCTTAGTCATGGGCCCAGGTGCCTCTACGTCCTCCTCATTCCACTTTCAAGACAGCTTCCCATCTGGCTTACTCTTGGGGGCCACGTTTATTCCACGCTGCCACTTTCTGACTGTGTGGCCACCCTCACAGGCCTGGATATGCCCTTCTGTGAAGTGAGGATGCCACCTACCTTAAGACCAGTATGAGGACCAATGAACTCACTCAGCCTGGTGTGTAACAGAGTACCTGTCATGCCACACACTGTGGCTTACAGCCACCTCAGAAACTCTTATGAAGGGATCCAGCCACTCAATAAGCTGCCCACCAGGTCACTGTTAACCCTGGGGAGCCTCAGCCCTCAAAGGAGCCTGGGTGACAAGGTGGCATCAACCTGACTGGCCATCACCCAGACCACAAAATGCTCTCCTCCCTGGGGACCAGAGCAGCTTCGGCCCACACATTCTGTTAGCACCCAGCCAGGGGTGTCAGAGAGCAGCCCTACTTCCCTACTCCCAGCTCTCAGCAGTGAGCCCCTTAGTCACACCACTGGCATACCAATGTCAGCAGACGATCATATGAAAGCACCACCCTAGGGGCTGGGGATTTAGCTCAGTGGCATAAGCACCTGCCTTGCAAGCAGGCGGTCGTGAGTTCAATCCCTGGTACCAATAAAAAATAGAAAGTAAAATAGAAAATAAAAAGCACCACCCAGTCTGGACCAGATTTAGGATTTCATCACTCCTGACCAGTTGCTGAGAGCACCACGGGACACTGCAGGGGCCTCAACCAGCCTGGCGCCACCTTCACTAGCCTCACCCTGGCACCCGGCCTTCTCTGAACTAGTCTGTTGACAGAACCATCTTCAGTGCCCTGCCCACAGGAAGAAGCAACACACGTGCAGTTCCACGGGATTTCCTGGCTCGGCACTCGCCACATAGCACAGAAACACAGGCAAAAGGACTGCAACCTGGCTCCACGGAGCCCTCTGCTCCTGAAAGGTCTGATAGGTGATAACTGGCAAAACCCCAGGACAGAGGTCAGGGAACTCCAGGGAGACCAGGGCACAACCTAATTAGACAAGACACCAAGGACAACCGAGCTGGTAGGTGCAAACGTGCAGGTACCCGGGTAAATCTTCCCGGGTAAGTAAAAGAAGAAGCCCAGCCTGTTGCCAGGACTCTTGGGGCGGACACAATGGCGAGCAATAACACGAGATACCTGGCTCCGCTGGAAGTGGACGGTCCAGGGGGCAGGAGCTGTGGTCCCACATGGGACAGGCTGGAGTGGAAGAGGGGCTGGTTCCCCAGGGCCGGAGGGGCCCCAGCCCAGGGGTTGGTGGTGTTGAGCCTCGGTGCAGATCTGGCCCCAGAGAGCGAAGGTTTGTTGTATGGGGCGAAGCCCTGGTGGGCCCCAAAGGCAACGGCAGTCCTGTGGGAGGCCTGGGGCGTGGGGTATGCAGGGAGGTTGGTCATGGAGTGGCGGTAGCGGCCTGACACAGGGCCAGTTCCACTGCCATGGAGGCACTGTTGGCAAGAGCAGGCGACTCCTGTGTGGCCTGGTGGAGCAATGACGGTGGTCACTGGATAAGGTGGGCCTACTTGGCGCCGCACGCTCCGGCAGAAACTGGAAGTTTTGTTGGTTTGCGTGTGGGTGGCATAGTTGACGGTGTAGTTGTACCCCAGGGGAGCCAAGTCCACAACCTGGATGCCCCTGGCCATGTGCTGCTCCAGATAATCACAGACATTGGCTTCGTAGGCCGTCCAGGAGCCATCATCGCCCAGCCACTCCCAGATGATACCCTGGCCTGGGGCCGAATGCTGGGAGAACAGGTGTCTACGCACAGCCCGCATGGTGCCTGTTTAAAAAGAGCAGCATGCATAAATGGTGAACCTGTTAGCCACCTCTCAAAAGAGAATTTTCTTTTTGTAGTACTGGTTATGGAACACAACGCCTTTGCACTAAGCTGTATCCTGAGCCTTCTCCTTTCCCCCAGGCTTTTTTGTGAGACGGTCCTGCTAAATCACTAAGTTACAGAGCTCAAACTTGCTATCCTCCTACGTAGGCCTCCCAGAGTGCTGAAATGCATCAGCGTGCTGGGCTACATTTTCCTTTTTTCCCCATGGTCCTGGGAATTGAACTGAGAGCTTCTCCATGAGCCCTTTATTTTATGAAACAGGCTCTTGGAGTTCAACTTGAGCTTGAGATCCTCCTGCCTCAGCTTTCCACAGTTCTGGGATTCCACGTGTGTGTCATCACGCCTGGCAAAAAAAAATCTTTTAAGCAACCAAACCAAGCATAATAATCACTATAGGTATCCAGTAATGCTGCTATTTGATCAAAAAGCTGACATTAGCTACTTTTACAGATTTAGGGGTAAAGAGATTCTACTCTCTAGGTAAAGAAACTGATACCCCAAAGGAGTAAGTGGTAAAGGAGGGTTCATACTCCTTAGCACAAAAGACTGCTGGAAGCTAAAGTCATATACCTTGGACTTGATGAAGCTTTCCGAAATAACACTGCTTTCTTTTTGGTGCCGGGAATAGGACCCTGGGTCTCATGCACACCAAGCAGATGCTCTACCACTGAGCTACACTCCCAGCCCTCAAAATATTCCTAATTTCCTAGCCAATATGAGGCCCTAGGTTTAATCCCTAGCACACAAACACAAACACAATTTCTTTGTGCCCAATTCTAAAAAAAATTGAAAAAGATGTTTGTGACTGCACACACCTGGAATCCCAGTATTCTAGAGGCTCAGGCAGGAGGACTGCAAGTTCAAGCCTGGCCTGGGCAACTTAGTGACTTAGCAAGACCCTGTCTAAAATAAAAAATAAAAATGCCCTGGAGTTGTAGCTCAGGGCAAAGCCCCTGGGTTCAACCTTATCAACACCCCCCAATATACATACACAGAAAACTAAAATCACCTCTAACCCAAGCATCAAGGGAAAGTACATAGCTGAAACCATAATGTAGTTCTGTCTAGGGGCCTTCTAGGCAAGTGTGTGTACCCAAGTGGCCAACACCACACTAAAAACAGTTCCCACTATTACTGCATATTTTGATATAAGCATTTCCTGTCTTAAACTTTGTAATCTGTATTCTCTTATGCCATTCTTTTGTCCTGTCCCAGTGACCCTGCCGGCTGAGCTTAGACTTCAGACTGAGCCTGTTTGTGTGAGATGCTGTATCTCTGAGGAGCACCTGCTGCTAGCCCTGTCGCCAATCCTGTTTGCCATCTTCCTCAGTGCCTGCACCCAGCACGAAGGCAGGAACCCTCGTGCACAGCTGCCCCACTGGGAGTCCCAGTGACAGCATAGAGTGGCGTGCTACTGACAGAGATCCCAGCAGGGCATCTCCACGGTCTCCACTAGCGACTTTCTGGGCCATTAATTCTTGTTGCAAGGCCTGTTCTATGTACTGGATACCTAAGAGCATTCCTGGCTTCCACGCACTAGGTCATGGGTCATCCCCCAGATATCTCCAAACATTGTCAAAAGTCTCTGAGGAATAAAACCATACAACTGAGAACCAAAAGATTAAAGGGGGAGGGACAGACCCAAGAGAAGTTGGTGGCTCCATTCTGTTAACACCAATCAAGACACATTACAGATTAAAAACACAGAAATACAAATGTTCAGAGGAACAAGGTGAGACGTAACCTCAAGGGTCACACAATTGAACATGGAGCATCAGGCCCTGTCAACCACAATGCACAACCTCCTTGCTAGGGACGCTGAAATCTTTGCGGGCTGAGGCAGGTCTTTAGGTTGGAACACGAGGAAAAGGCCGAGAGGGGCTCTGCTGTGCATTCCACAGTACCCTCTTCTACTGCAAGGTACCCTTTACCCAGTGGTCACAGCTGTTCTCACACACCTGCCTCTTGGCTGTGCATATTCCCAAGGCAGGGCAGAAGAAGCTATGCAAGTCACCCCCACAACTCAGTACCCAACGTGGCCTCAACCCAAAGCAGGAGTGACTTACCGGTATCCTGACGGAACTGGGTCCAGCTGGGGAGGTCAATGATGTACGGGGCCAGTGAGGGGTCAGCCTGGCCTAAGGGGATGCTGTGTGCCAGGCTGCCCACCCCAAAGCGCTGACCCTTCTGCTGGACAAACTGCTGCTCAATGTAGCTGCACACAGTGGCACTGTAGGGATGCCAGGTACCCAGCCCATCCTGCCATTCCCACACAGCCACTACCACCGGGCTGGGGTACACCTGAGCCAGGGAAGGACCTGGGGCCATGGCCATCTTCCCCAGGACTCCTTCCGCTTTCCCAGATGCCTTCACACCACACTCGGCCTAGGGTTCATCGCCTGATGCCTCCTGTAGACCTGCAAACAGGATGGACAGAGCAGTTACTGAGCACATTGGAGCCTCAGAGGAGGGTAAATAAAAACCTGGCCTTTCCTAATGCCTTGAGGCATTAGGCATGCCATGAACCAGATCTGTGATCCCAGCTCTTTGCCCTGGCAGCCAGGAAGGATTGCAAGGAAGTCCTCCAGCTCACCTGCCTCTGCGAGTGCTCAGGAAGATGCAGCAGGGTGATCTGCGATACCAATCATTAGCTCAGCTTCTATCTCGAGGCCAATGACTCCTCTCCAATCCAGACATTTCCTTTACCCTTTCATACTATTTGGGGGGGATTGAACTCATGACCTTGTGCTTGCCAGGCAGGTGCTGTCATTGGCTCCCCCCCCCATACTGTCTATTCTTCAGTCCTGCAAATCCTTGTGTGGGTAAGGTCACAATGACCCTTATTCCCACACAAGCAGTCTACAGTTCCCAGCACCAGTTTGTTTGTGAGCTGCATATTAACACTCGCGCAGATGAGGAAACACTGTGTGTGAGGAGGGACCAGGGTCCCTCTGGGACCTGAAGCGGCACTAGCAGAGATGGGACTCTAATTACAGGTTCTGTTCCTCCACAAGTCCAGGCTATCCCAGCAGTATCACTGACCACAAAGGAGGCCTAGCACTGACATTAGATGCATTCCAAAGCTAGGTGTACTGAATACACATGTAATTTCAGAACTCAGGAGGCTGAGTCAGGAAGATGGCGAGTTTGAGGTCAGCCTGGGCAATTTATCAAGATCCCCTCTGCTGGTCATGGTGGCACATGCCTGTAATCCCAGCACTGGGGAAGCCGAGGCAGAGGATCACTGGAATTTTGTGGCCAGCTGGACTACACAGTGAGACTGTCTCAAAAACAGAAGATGCCTCTCCAGGCATCCTCACACTCCACTCTTTTCCTTCTTGAGCACTGCGTTTTCTTTTTGCCCTAAGTAAACATTAAACTTCCAAATTCGCTGACTGTCCTGTCCAGTTCTTTGAACAGGACAGCAACAACCTGAAAAGGACCTCTGATCGCTCCAATCCTCAGAAACAAGAAAGAACACAAATCCTGTGATGGCCTATCTCCAATGGTACCACATCCCTCTTCCTCTGGTACCCAGTGAGTCCCAGGTACTTTCCAAGTAATTTCTCACCTTGCCCTGGCCACTGAGCCTTCACCCCCTTCACACCAGCCCTACGAAGGGTCCCACTGCTTTGTCACTCCACTAGAGGCCACTCACCCTAGGCCACCCACTGCAATCACCGGATTCAGTCCCCACTGGACCAGCGACTCCCTGAAGGCACAGCTGGGGCTGACTCCGAGCTGGGGCTTCAGCTCCACAAATGCCCAGAATCTGAGGGAGTGGATAGGTGAGGGAGCAAGGGCCTTGGGGTCAGAGCCCAGCCAAGCCTGACAGTGAGCCGAGCAGCATGGCCACATGTCAGGGAACCTGCTCTTGGCACCAGCCTCAGTCACCTCGAAGCTGCAGTTCCAAACCCTAATTCATCTCAGTGCCTAATGTGGGTGCAATTTAATAACTGACTGTGGAAAAAAGCTGAAATCTGGAGGCAGGTGGAATACCTGACAATACAGGAATTCTATAGGGTTTCTTGCTTTTGTTTTGCTAGGGCTGGACCCCCTCTACCTTATATATGCTATGTGCACACTCTACTACTGAGTTCTACCTTCAGTTCCAAAATACGAGCTTTTCCTCTTGTTTTGTGGAGACAAAGTCTGAGTGTACCCAGGCTGGCATTAAACTCCTAATCCTTCTGCCTTAGCCCATGAGTGGTTCAATATGCCTTTTGTTTCTTTGTTTCCATGATACTGGAATCTGAACCACAGCCTTTATCCCAGGTTTTTCTTTTTCTGTTTTTTTTTGAGTAGGGTCTCACTATGCAATTCAGACTGACCTTGAACTCATTATGGAGGCCAAGCTGGTTCTGACCTCCCAGTGATCTTCCTGCCTCAGCCTCCTGAGCACCGGAATTACAAGCCTGCACCACCACGCCAAGTCTTTTTTTTTTTCTTTTTTTAAGACTAGATTGCTAAATTGCCCAGTGTGAGCTCAAATTTATAATCAACCTGCCTCAGCTTCCCACAGTGCTGGGCTCAGAGGTATGGATTACCATGCTTGGCCATAATATGGGAATCTGTCAATAAATTAAGGAATATCCAATGACAGAATACAAATGTATTTTTTCAATGTTTAGAAAACCTTATGAGGGCCAGGCATTAGCTCAGCAGCTTAAGTAAGTGTGAGGTCTTAAGTTTGATCCGTGGTTTAAAAAAAAAAAAGCTTATGATATTGGGCATGGTAGTGTACACCGTAACTGCAGCACTCTGGAAGGCTAGGGCAGGACGATTCCAAGTTTGAGCTTAACCTGCATCATAGGAAGCCCTGTCTCAACAACAAAATCAGCTGAGACCCTTTTCCTGATGTGACAATATGCCATCCACCACATGTGAAGCAGAGGTGGTGGCAAGAGGCCCCTTCTTTTCTTTTTTTGGTCTTTTTCATTTTTACCAGGGATCCAGGGATCAAACTCACAACTGCCTGCTTGCAACGCAGGTGCTTATGCCGCTGAGCTAAATCCCCAGCCCCCGAGGCTCCTTCTTTTCAAGAGGTCTTTGAGGCTCTTTTGCAGGACAGAAGGATTCAGGGCCAAGGACATTGCTCCAGAGGGCAGCACTTGTCTGGCATACAGGAGGCCCTGCACTCCATCCCTAGCACCAAAAGGGAAAGGGAAAAAACGGGTTCTGATGAGCGTGGAGCGGAAACCAGCTCCACCAAGTGACTTCCAGAACTGCTTCCAGCTCTGATTCCACTGACTTGGGATGGATTTTCCAAACTCTACCTACTGGCTGACCTACCTACTGACCTACCCTCTTTTCTTTCTTTCTTTTTTTTTCTTTTTTTTGTACAGGGGATTGAACTCACGACCTTGTGCTCGCAAGGCAGGCACTTATGCGGCTGAACTAAATCCCCAGCCCTGAGCCCTCTTTTCTAAGCTGTCTCTCCTTTGGTCCTTTCCAAAAATCTGGCCCTGAAACCACACAGCCCAGCAGCTGACACTGTGAGCCTTGGCTATGAGAAGAACACAACCTTCAGACCTACAATGCCTGTGGGCCCCCAGCAGGAAGCTTCTTCAAAGCCCTGCAAAACTTGATTCTCATGTATGAATTTGGGAAAAAAAAAAAAACCTCAAAAATGTTCTACTGTAGTAGACATTTGAAATTCTGATTATAAAATATTGTCAGCCAGGCATAATGGTGCACACTCTAACCCCAGCACTCTGGGCTCTGGGAGGCAGTGGTGATGAGGATCACTAGCTCAAGCCTGGCTTGGGCAACTTGGAAAGCCTGGCTCAAAATGAAATTTTAAAAATGGACTGGGAATGTAGCTTAGTGGGAGAAATCCTGGGTTCAATTCCTAGGACCACCAAAAAAAAAAAAAACAACCTCAAACACAATAGAAGATTTTTTTGTATAGCAAAGGTCATTTCAGTCCTCAACGCTGGCAACAGCTGATCCAGGCTTCACACTGCCGAGAAGGGCAAAACCTTTCTGCAGGCTAGGGATGTGACTCAGTGCCTAACACACACCAGGCCCTGGAGTGCATCCCCAGGGCCACAAATAAATAAATAAATAACAGTTAGCTTAAGGAGGTTACAGAAATATTCACAACAGCACTATCAGAACATAAATAACCACAGAGAAAATCCAGTAAAATCCAGCAGTGGTGGTGCACACCTGTCACCCCAGTGCTTAGGAAGGGTGTCAAGGCCACTGTGAGCTACACAGCGAGTTCAAGGCCAGCCTGAACTTCATAGTGAGACCCTGTTTCAAAAAAGAAAGAAAGATGAAAGAAATGAAAAGAAAAGAAAAAAAGAAAACTCAATAGAAAAATGTAATGAAACACTATATTAACTGCTGTCTTTGAGAACCAGGGATGTAGCTCAGCAGTATAACCACCTGGCCCAGCAAGCACAAGGTCCTGAGTTTGATTCCTAGTACCAAAAAATTTTCAAAAACCTGTTTTTGAGTGGGAAAACCATAGAAGACCTTTTGTTTAACTTTTTTCACCTTATATTTGAACTTTTTTGATTTTTTTTTTGTGTGCTGGAAAGCGCACCCAGGGCCTCATATATACTAAATACAAGCTCTAATGGTGAACTATAGCCCAGCTTTTCACATTTTTTAAAGTCAGAAAGCATTAATTTCTGTTATGGAAGGACAAGTGTCTTTAAATTGCCAAACACTTTTAAAAGGTCATAACTAAGGGCTGGAGATGTAACTCAGTGCCAAAGCACTTGTTTAGCATGTTTGAGGCCCTGTGTTCAATCTTCTGCAGCTTAAAAAAAAAATCATTAGCCGGACATGGTGGGATATGCCAGTAATCTAAACTAGTGGGGAAGCTGGAAAGTTCGAGCCCAGCCCGAGCAATTTAGCATAACTCTGTCTCAAAGTAAGAAATAAAAAAATTTTAAAAAGGGTTAGGGATGGAGCTTAGTGCAAGACCCTGGGTCCAATCCCCTCTGTCACAAACAAAAATAATCACCATCCAACCAAATCAGTACCACTACCAGCATTACTTTAAATAGTTGCTACTATCCCAGCAGATTTCAGTAACAGTACGCCCTGTCAACTTACCACGGCACCTCCTCCTCACCAAGAGGCACGACTCCCATTCCGGAGTTCTAGGAAAACGTGAAAAACAAACACCCAGGTGCCTAAGGATGACACCTGGCCAGGTTTACCCAGTTCTGAAGTGAGCTAATGTGACAGGTCTTTGGTCCTTTTCTAATTTCTTTCTTTGGTGGTCCTGGAGATCACACCTAGGGCCTTGGCATGCTAGACAAGCGCCCTCCCACTGTGTGACAGCCCCAGGCTGGGGCTCTGGTCTTGAGAAGAGATAGCTCAAGCCAGTGCCATCCAGACCTAAGCTTCTGACAGACAGGGAACCGAGCCCTGCCCTGTGTGCCTGCTGCCCCTAGGT